AGGGCCACAGACTTTTCTTAGGGGGCCAGGCCCTTGACGACGTGCCTGGCAATACGTGTTTAATCTTATCAATTGGATTGCAGGCAATCATTGCGAAACATTCATTACGTATTTTTTTTTTTTTAAGAGTATTATAGACAAAAATTTCCATTGTAAATCTCAAAATCCTGGTTTGAGTACCTCCCCGGGTGGACCTACCGGTTCCAATAATTGTGAATCTAACCCATCCCAGGAATAAATATAATTTATTACTTTATATAAAAATACAATTTAGATTAAATTAATTAATTTGGATAAAAAAAAAAAAAAAGGAACGTTAAACGTTATATTATATAATATATTGGGCATTTTAAATTATCTGGACACTTAATTTTATTGTTTGATGAAATAATGATTTTTTTTGACAAAAATCTTTATTCAATTATTTGTTATCTTATATAGATAATTTTAAAGTTATCTGTGCATAACACTGGATGTAGGTATCTAATCCATCGACATAATTAAACGCTAATTAATCAATGATTTTCTGGTAACGGCGGTGCCGCCGCGTTCGGTATTTTCCTCAAATAAATTATCCCAATTTATTTCCATCCCAATAGCCATGTGTAATAAAAGGAGTGATTAGTTGAAAAGTAAAAGTCCATCACCGTGTGTTTAATGTTGCTGGTTTTTTTTTTTATTCACAATGCCGGGCCAAGATTGATTACATGCAGACATGAAGGTCATTTTTATATGTGTATTCTAACAGTTATGTTCCAATTCATTGTAAAACAACTACCTACTTACTTTTGTTGTACATGCTGACTTTTTTTTTCTTCTTCCGAGCACAATGCGCTTCGTCTAAAGTGCTTGATTCAATTTGTTTTTATTTGATATAATTCGTGTAGGTACCTAGGTACCACATTCGCTATCAAGCGCATCCTATAATAGGTACCTATTCACCACAATCGACAGTCAACAGACATTATTATTATCATCATCGATGTGTCAGGCCTAACCGTTTTCGATAAAAATCGTAGGTACCCTTTCATTTCCGACCAAACCTAAAAATTTAGTATATACTTTATGTTGAACGTAGGTAGTAGGCACCTATTAAAAAATATTGAAAATAAAAGTTGTAAGTACTTATACAATTATTTATTTTTGCCTTGGTACATGTAAAACATATTATACCTAAAATCTAGATGGTAATTCCGTCACGATCAAATAGTTAATAATAAAAATTATAAATTTATATATTTGTTTTATTAAATTACATAATTTGGATAGGTACCCACAGGGTTGGACTAGCCCACCGGGATACCGGGAAATTTTCCGGTGGGCCGCAGCAAAAAGGGGCCGTACTGGCGTACCGCCGTAACTATTAATATATTATATTGGACCGCGAGTCCATGGTGGTTATCTTAATTTGATAAAAAAAAATTTATTTCAATCGTTATTTTATGGAATTTAATATTTAAATCAATTTAAATTGATAAAAGGACAGAAATAATTATTGTATTATTATGAACAAAATTAAACTACCTAGTAGATGAAATTAATAATTTGATCCCGGATAATTTGCCAAATGTGCGGATACGTAAGAAAAAAACATTGTATGGTGAGAACCAAAATGAAACTGTTACTGAAACTGCTATTGACTTGTTTTAAGAGCCGGTACACACGACCGATATTTCATCGTACGATTTATTTATCGTATTAAAATATTATAGTACGATATTATAAATAACATGGTTATAAATTAAGCTGTTCACACGATTACGATAAATCGTCGTACGATAAGATAATCGTACGACGCCTTGAAAACTGTCGGTCACGTTTTGAACTTCTGTCCGATAAAAATATCGTACGACCAAAATATTTCAATCAAAATGTACATAAATAAACTGATTAGAACACACGAACGATAATATTTATCGGCTCAAAACATAGAAAGTGTTTAATATCCATCCTGTCTCCGGAGGACGAATGTGATTTTTCTAGTGGAGTCAACTCTCCAAAATCAATTGAATTTGTGGAAGACGATTTAAATATTGATATCGAGATTCTTATCAGCGAAGTCCAAGCAAGGTCTTTACTTTGGGACAAAAGTTTAAATAAATATTCTGATAGGTATTTAAAAAGAGCTGATTGGAAAGAAATTTTTATTTTGTTATACCCAGATTACGAAAAAGTATCAAGTCAACATCAAAAATTAATAGGCAAGTACTAATCAAACATTATAATACAAATAATATAATAATGTATGATATAAAATGATATATTTTAAAATATAATTAATGTATTTATGTAGGTAAGTAATAGGTAGGTACCTAAGTCGGTACATATTATAATAATGACGAAAATATTAAATAGTATAATTACATTAATAATAATTATTTTATATAACATGTAACCTACATAATATTATAATTATATATTATAATTAGGGCACGGATGTTGTAGTACTAAAAAAATAGTAAAATTGATTGCAGTATTGCACTAAAAAATACCAAAAATTGCACTAAAAATATTAAAAATTGCACTAAAAAATAACAACGTTTTGTTATAAATGTTTTAAGTTTACTGTTATAAATTATAATCTAAAATTCTAAATAATTCAAAAAAAAATATATACATTACATTATAATCATGCCATTATAAATTTATTATATTATACATCATTGCACTGTACTATAAGTGTTTGTTTTAAATTTTCGAAATCAAACCCTCTTCGATTTGGAGCTAGTAAGTTCTTATATCTCGAAAAACTTCATTCTACGTCGGTTGATGTAAGCGGGCGTATTTAAAATAAGATAAATCGCTTACTGTTAAGTCTTCGGGTAAACCATCGAACGATTTTCTTTGTCCAGTTAGTATATCATTGATTTTAATAATGGTTTTAAGTCATATATAAGTTTTAATATTGCTAAAATAGTTGTATAAATGAGTAAATTCGACAAAATTGCAATAAAATTGAAAAAATCCCAAAAATTGCAAAAAATTGCACTTAAAACTTTTAGATTTGAATTCGTACTTACATGAAACGTATTTAAAACTTACTTAGCAATTAATTGAAAAAGTAGAAAAAAAGTTGCAAATGCAACATCATCCGTGCCCTAATTATAATAATGATAAAATAATTAATAAAACTGTTTTAGTTTGTATTTTAATTAAATAACATATTATTTATTTATCATTTTGCCATGCCACAGCTCCTACAGTATAGAAGTAATCGGCAAAAGTATTTCTTATATCATTTGCCATTCTTCCTCCACGATTGTTGTTATTATTTGTGACTAGAGGTTCATCAAATCCTTCAATGGTTAACGTGTCTTGTAATTTGTACCCATTTTTTTTCTCGAACGTAATTATGTAATACACAACAAGCTTTTGTTATGTCTACAGCTAAATCCGTAGTGACATTCAATGAAAAATTCATATGAAAAATTCTCCATTTATTTGACAGAATCCCGAATGCACATTCAACATACCTCCGTGCACGTGATAAACGGTAGTTGAATATTCTTTTTTTTTGTGATAAGTTTCGTCCTCCATAGGGCCGTAGTACATTTGTAGATAAACTGAAGGCTTCATCACCCACAAACAAATATGGAACATTTGCATCTTTGTTAGGCAATACCGAAGGTTGAGGAATATTTAATGAATTATTAGCCAATAGAGTCCAAAGTGTGGAATTTTTAAAAATGGTAGAGTCGGAATCCTTTCCAAAGGATCCAACATCGACATATATAAATTTATAATCTGAGTCTACTACTGCTAATAATACGATAGAAAAAAAATTTTTATAATTATAATGTTGACTACCCGTTCCAGTTGGTTTAATAATACGTATATGTTTTCCGTCTACCGCTCCAATGCAGTGAGGAAAATTTGCTTGTTTCTCAAAACCAGTTGAAATATCTTTCCAGTATTGTTCAGTAAAAGTGGGCATATAAACTCCAACAAGTTCATTCCATATAACTGAACAAACTTCTCGAACTATCATAGCTATTGATGAGACTCCTAATTTGTACGAATAGTGTAAATCCTTAAATGTACATCCAGAACCAAGATATCTAAAACCAATAAATAATAAATTACAGTTATTTTTAGTTGTGATATAATTCATGAGTACTTATAATCTATAATTTTACAATATTAAAATAATATATCATTGAATACGAAAAACGATTCTGAGCGGAGACGGTTTGTCGGCGTAGAGTATTGAAACTACTAAATAATTTGTGCATTTTCGAGATATTGATAAGTGATAACTGTCAAAATTTGGCAAAATTTTAATTTACAATGCTCATAAAAAATAAAAAATAAATAAAAAACACACATCATTGTAAACCCAATACATTCATCGCTTCGCTCAGAATCTAAAAAAAATCCAATATTTCAAAAGCCTATATTTACGTATTACATTTGTAGGAAATAATATAGAGAAGAAATGGAGAAATGTTCGAGATGCATTTATTAGAAGTTTAAAGGAAGATAAGCCAAAATCAGGGAATGGCGCCAGAAAAAAATCCAAAAAAACATACTTATATCATGATGAATTAAGATTCCTCATTAAAACAATAACCCCACGAAAGACTTCAAGCTCTATTAATTTAAATAATACTGCATATGACAATATTGAGAATGATACTATAAATGACAATGATATTGCGAATAATACTATAAATGCTAATATTGAACATAACTTACAGACATCCGAAATAGTGACAGAACAATGTTCAACTTTAAATAACTCTGGACCAAACAAAAAAAAACAGAGCAAACAAAAAGAATCAATTGTCGAAAAGAAGTTTTTAGAATATTTAGAAGTACAAACACAGAAAGGGATTAATGATGATAAACAAGATCAGCATCAAGAATTTTTTAACTCCTTGTTACCGATAGTTAGAAAATTTAACGACGACCAGACACTACTTTTCAGATCAGAGGTGATCAAAATTGCACAAACTATTAAGAGAGGCCAATCTTCTAGTTACCGGAGACAATAAAACCAAATGTATCATCCACATCTTTTCAGCATCAGCCATACTTCCATCAACTTCCATATAGTCCATATACATCCACAACAAACATCATCAAAGTATGCAAATACTCAATACAACATATTACCTGCAAGGAATACCAGTCTTTATGTCCAATCTCAAAATGTTCAAAATGTTCATAGTCTACAACCCCCAGTTCAAACTTATGCTTCGTCTCAACATATTAATGTCGTTTCCCCTGAATCTCCACACCAATCAAATGCCAGTTCTCCTTCTCCATATTCAACATCAACACTTTCACATCACTCGGATATTGTGCCAGGGAGAGATGTGATATATTCTGATTCTGATATAATGGATGAGTTTTTAATAACAAAATAAATTATTACTAATTAAACAAAGAAATTAGTAACTAGTATCTGGTAAATGTTTTTTTTAATTAAAACGTTAGTTATTATTTTTATTTTTAGTAATGAATTTCTAATGTAAATTGTATAATCTTAATAAACTGACTTATAAAGTATATTAATTAAAAATAAGACTATTATTAATACAATATATTAAAATATAATATTAATATGTAATACCTTAGAGTGACTGCCAATTTTTCAGCTGGAGTAATGGCTTTTCGCACATTTGTATCCATTTTTATCAGTTTGTGACCAACAAATGGTGTAAGTAACTCATCAAAAGCAGATACTGACATACGAAAATAATTAAAAAATTTTACCGGATCTTTTCTAAGACCTTCAAAATTAATTGAAAACGCACCTTCGGATAAACGAGTGGATAATAATGGATGGACCCACATTTTTCTATTTTTTTTCTTTAGTAATATTTTATAACCCATATATAAAATTATAATATCATTCATTGTTTTTTTTTTTGGATAATAAACTAGGAATTAATTGTTAAAATGCACTTAAAGTGAGAACTGTAAAATACGCAACACTCAAATAACACTGCACAGTTCATACTGAATACGTAATTTTGATGATATATTATAATTTATAATATATGATATACCTAGATCGTACGATAAAATGTCGGTCGTGTGTACCTAACCAACACCTTATCGTACGATAATATTTTAATACGATAAATAAATCGTACGATGAAATATCGGTCGTGTGTACCGGCTCCAAATTTAATGTTCATAACACAGCGATGGATACAGTGATTTGTAAACTAGAACAACGTTTTGCTAAACACGCTGAAATATGTTCAGATTTTACATGCTTAGATCCTCGTCAATTTTCAAAACCATTGCCCACAACTGCTCTTTTCAAACTTAGTAAATTTCTTGGATTAGAAAATACTAATATTTTAAGGGAAGAATTTCTAGATTTTACCAAAAAATGGGATAAGCTTAAATTAAATTTACCTGAAGTATATGCAAGTTATAGAAGTGATGAGGAAAATGAACTTCCAGAATTAGATTTAGAATGTTTGCAAGAAAATGAGTTTGAACAAAACCTATGCAAAACAAATATACGGTGTTTAAATTGTTTTCTTTGCTGTTTTAATGTATTGTTTAAATATAGATTATATGTTAAAGCATATAGCAATTTATTTTTAGCCTATATGTATATTTCAACACTATCATGCACTCAGGTAGGCTGTGAAAAGAGTTTTTCTACCTTAAGTTTTATTAAAAACCTACTTAAAAACCGTCTATCGATGGAAAATCTAGATGCATGGATGTTAATGCATTTAAATAAAGATATTTTGGAAACATTAACATATGAAAACATTATTGAGGAAGTGATAAAACATAGCTCAGTATTCAAAAAAATGTTGGTTGTTTAAAAATATATATTACCTACCTACCTTTACAAAGAATTATTATTATTTTTATTAAATAATTTATGTATTCTGCTTTGATGAAATTTTTTATATTTTGTTTGACAATGTATTTATATTAATTGTTTTTTTATTATATTATATTTAAAAAATAAATAACTCATGACAAAGGCTAGTCATACACTTAACACAATATTTTTTTTTCTTGAAGGGGGAGCTTATATTTATTTCCTTCTTATAAATTATATTTTTAGATAATTCACTATTAACTAACATTTTTTTTTATAATAGAGCTTTTCCCCTTAGGTTCAACTACGTGGCTGGTCAAAAGAAGCAGGGCCGCCAAAAAATAGAATTTCCCGGTACACATTTTGGGGCTAGTCCAACCCTGGGTACCCACAACTATTATATTTGTAATACTTGTCAATATGAATTCATACATAGTATAGAACACATGTAAGACATAAAGTAAATATTAAACTTTTTGGTCTCGCCGGTGGAACAGGATCATGTGTGCCAGATGATAATTTATTAGTATTATATAACATAGGTACCTGTAATATAATATAATGCCTTGTTATCACAGAGTAGATCTAACCTACGACCTACCTCATCAGTTATATATTAACCCCTACTTATCCATACAGAGTTGTGGGCCATAACGTCATTATCGTTTTTTTTTGTTATTATCTCAAGAATCCACGTGAATATTGTCCCTATAAATTTGGATATTTCAGAAAGGATAAAAACGGTAATTTAGACCAGAAAAATAAAATAAGAAATAGAGAAAAGTAACTTAAATATATAGGTACCTATCTCATATTTTAATAACACTAAATAAACTCAAACAAAAATTATGATGAGTATAAATGAATGTGTGATGAAATAATACCTACCTTGTATAATAACGATATACTACTAATAATAGTAATGTATTTTTAGCCAATGGTATATCATCATTTCCATATGAGTATTCTCCACAAATATTAATGTATTATGTATCTTTTTCTGACTGTCCATTTCAACGTAATGTCTTATGCGCATTTCGTCAATGACTTAACAACAGTAAAGTGGACGATTTCTTGCCTCATTAGTCATTAACAATTGCTTCAAAGGATTCCTTAGTGAAATCTGGGTTCCCATCTACAACCATATACCACCTACGTAGTGTCCGAGGATGAGGAAGTAATTTACTAAAAGTTTTTCTTACATACCTAGTTATGTACTTTAGGAGAATAATACTGGAGGGTTACAGAAAATTGTTTAATTTCTTCTGAATAAGTTTGTTTTTTCCAGACAGACCATTTTCAATTAGTTTTTCTAGTACATATGAACACAGTGCCTGATAAAAAAAATTTACTCATAAGGACATTTTTGAGAGCAGATTTAATATTTAAAACATTATGTCAAATTCTGATTGATAGTGTAAAAAAAATGAAAAAAAAAAGAAAGATTCAAACACCAAATTTTTTTTTTTTTTTTTTATTGATCTTTTTAAAGCCCGGCGACTATGGCCATTTGTGGGGTTTTGATTGTAGGTAGTAGGGTTTGCAATTGTAGGGTTATTACACGTGTGTGTTTTGTTTTGGCAGAATTTCTATTGGGGCACCTGTAGGTTTCTGCCATGCCTCGGAGTGGGGGATGACGGCACTTGTTCTCCGGACACCGTGACTTGCCCGGAGAAAAATGCCGCCCAGTGGTCGAGAGAATCGAACCCGCGACCGCCAGCGCCGCACCCGACGTGTTCGACCGCTCGGCCACCTCGTCCCCCACACCAAATTTTATTGTATTATAACAAGAACATTAGTTACAACTAGACTACTATACTAAATACATAATTTTTTACTTCAAGATACAACATACATTAAACTTATATCAAAAGATATAATACTATATCCCATTAACCATAACCTCAGGCGGCTACCAGTTAATGTTGCTCACAACTGTGCCTAAATACTGTATCTATGACTTAAAATATCTAAAGTCACATTATTAAATTAATATTAAAGTATATAACAAAAATTAAGTTTGATTTGATGTACCTATATGTAAACAAAGACAAAATCTGGTTAATCCATCCCATGAACTTGTGAAATTAGTAAACAATGATATTGGAAAATTAGTAAATACAAGATGGGTGCCTTTAAATTATCAGCAGAAAAAGCTGTCATTAATGATTTCTTCTTAAGGAAGTCCAATATGTCATTTTTTTTCTCAGTTGTGACTGTTGTTTTTAAAACTTTAAAATTTCTTGTAGCTAGATTAGGTGTTCCAAAATCTCTTGCATTCAAATCACCAAGCCGATAACAACTCTACATATGTTTTTTTTTTAAATCTAGTGATAACATATGTAATTAAAATTAAACCTGAGTGTATTAGTTTAGGTAAACAGTTTTAATAATATTAAACCTATAACAATGAATATATAAACTACAATAAATAATATTATATTATATAATCAATGAAATTACATACGTTTTGATAATAGTCACATCGCAAGTTAATTTTATCTTTCTTCGTTTAGCTATTTTATAATTGACACTAAACACAAAACATAATTAATGATATTTTGCACAGCAATGGTAATATTTAATTTTTACTTATATCAAACAAAATATACACTTTGAATAGTTATCAGATGCAGAAGTACAAAGAATCTGTGAGCAAGACTCATCATCTGAATTATGAACGACGCTAACAAGAAAGTTTTTTTAAATTTTTATATACAAATAATTAATAAAATGTAGTATTCTATTCTTACAATGGTAAAGCATTAGGCTTCAATATTTTTCTAGCATTACTAAACATATAAATGTCATTAGTAAAGTGATTTCCGCAAATATAATGCTAATTATTAATTTGTTGCATCCCTACTGCTGATGCGCATTTTTGTATCTTTTCCAGAATCTTAAGAAATCTATCCATAATAAAATTATTAATTAATTAATGCTAATTATCTATAGCTATTTTTTTTTCATACTAAATTTTGACTTATTCGTAATGGGCAATTAAGATTTTAAATTCCAATAATATGAATCTTACCTGTGAGATAGTTCTACTGTAGATGTACAATCGTTTTATTATGAAACTAATAACAACCATATAGCTTAAAAGTTACCAGGTATTATAGTATTATTATAGTAATATATCATTATACAATTGTAATTATATTTTTAAGATTTATAATCCACATTATGGCCATGATTATGGTGAGTAATATATTATCTACAGTGATGATATTTACGGAATATAATTTATGAAAAAGACCCTCTGATAGAATGAGAGGCATTGATAAAATCAGTTTTCCTCTTTTCCTCATTCTGGCTGTATTGTTAATATAGCCATGGCCTATCCATTCTTTGATATCTATGATCGGGCATCGGCCACTTTTCCCGAAATGTTATGGAGGAAAGAAAAGAACGATCCAAATCAATAGTACCAACATTCCCTACTAATTATACGAATAGCAATACCAATATAAAAAATATTTTTCATACTTAAATATTATTGTGCGATTCAAATATTATAGTACAGTTCAAGAAAACGTCAAAATCAACGTTTTTGAAAAATAAAAACTGATGCCACTGTAGAATACTACTGAGATCAACGTCATCAGAGAAATATTAAAAACGTATTAAAATATTAATTTAATACCAAATTTAAACATATATTATGTTCCTACTAATTCTACAGTCGGGCTAACGAAAAATGAGCACTGGAGTCTGTAAGAGTCAATTTAGCACCACTAGTAGCCCCGCAACATAGAAACTTGCTTTTGAGAGGAGGTGGGTGGGTTACGAATATTTTTCTGGTGGTTATAAATGGTCACAAAATGATATTACATAATTTCCAATAGATTTCAAATACCTGCAAGTCGAACTACTGTAATGGCGGACTGTAGCGACGTCACATAGATACTTAGTTTTGAGAGGTTGTGGGTATAGGTTACACATTGTGTTTGGTGGTTACAAATGATTGCAAATGATATAAATTGAAATTAATTCTTATATATTTAGAGTAATTGGCGGGGCCAAGGTAGCTCACCTGGGTTCCACGATAAAAGTGGGCATAAGAAACACTAGTTTACTATATTCTAAGTAATCAGGCTGATAGCATTCTTATTTGCTTGGAAAAAAACATTAAAATTTTTTTATATTTTTTTTTACTTTTTTTTTTAAGTGGAAACTATGAAAATATAAGTACGTAAGTCTGAAATTAGTATTTTTAATTTATCAAATGAACAATAATAATATATATCGATCTTTCGCATTTTTAAGCCGTTTTTCTACAGTTTCACCATAAAGGTTCTGGTGCTTGGCTTTTTCACAATTTGTTTATTTTAAAATATTTTATATTAATTAAAAACAAAGTTAAAAAAGTAAAAATATTTAATTTTTTACTTACAAAAATACTTGTTTATTACCAAAACAATAAATTTAAAAAAAAAACTTGCACTTAATTTTTTTTTTTTTTTCAAAACATCAATGGAAATTAATTGTGGTTTATTCTGAATTTCGAAAGCACTATAATTATAACACTGAATGCGGTTGTTTAATGTTTCTAAAGGAAAATATTTAAAATTTAAAATAAATTCATATAATATATTAGAAATATCAAACATACACCTTCCAAAACGTCATGCATTAAATCTACAGAATAATTATAAACTGCATGGAACCCATTAATTTGATTCCATACACATGCTTCTTTAATGCCTGTTGCAGATACATTATCAGTAACCAAGTCTTGTAAATAATTTTCCTCATCTCTTAATTTACTGTTGTCATAAATAACTGAATAGTTACAATCAAATTTAGAACATTTACAGAACCGACATGCGAAATTTGCCATGAAACTATCACTAAATCCTAATATTGAATGTATACCCAAATTGTCACCAAGAATTAAAGCTAAACAGAAGAATGCAGTTATACTTTTATTTTCAATAGTTAAATTTATACCGTTACTTTGTAAATAGTTAATTTCAGCAATTAATTGTTTAAAAATAATTTTGTTTCCAAATATTTTCTTGTCATTAGCGATAAAAAGTTGGGCAAGAAAAATATAATTTAAGCATGAACTAAATTCTGGAGGGAAACATGATCCAAAAGACACATAAACAGCTCCTATTTTTTTTTCCAGCATGAGACCCAAGTGGGTTAGCAGTCTCATACTCGTCAAAATATAAAAAAAAAAGGTATAACTATTTTGCCAGGATTATTACGACATTTCTCTTTCCAAACTTCACTTTGTATATAGCTAGAAATAATGTCTTCACTCTCAGAAATCAATTCATCAAAATATTTCAAAATAGTTTTCAAAACATTTGGTTGTTCAAAAAAAACTTTAAAGACAGATCTTAATGAAATAAAACAAATATTTACATTAACAGTTTCAACCAAAATATTACCATCCTTCATAACTGCTTTATATTTACTACCAATAGTAATTTCAATAGGTTTTATATAAAGGCCCATTTTTTCTAACAATTGCTACGCTTATACTCGGATTGTAAGTTTATAAAGGGATTACTAACTACATCAAACATTTCTGATATTTTGATTACTGAATTACAATCATTTTCATGATTTTCTAAACTGTGTAAGACTTTAGTTTTTAATGTTTGTAAGCAATTTTTATTTAAAGAATTTACATCATTAATAAGGGTTTGAACTTTGTTTCTTGGTACAACTGATTCATTATACCATTTTGACATTAATGTAATTGCATCCCCTGTAACTATTTCTTTAAACTTATAAACAGTTATTTCCTGATCATCATTTATTTCAGAATGGTCGCCTAGCACACTAATACTTAAACTACTATCATTATCAGTATTAAGAATCAAATTCAACGGAACATTAGATGGTGTAGGTATATTATCCAATGGTTGATGATGAACAAAATTATGACTTTTACAGTGTTTACTAAATGAATCAAATTAACTATAAATTCTATGACACTTCGCTTCTAAACACTTATACTCAGCTATTTTATCAAAACAATGAAATAATTTTATATGCCTCAATAAAGCTATGGGACAATTAAAATTATTAGAACAAACAAAACAATAAGGCATGATAGTAGAATTAAAAAAAAATATTTAATAAAAGTAAATAATATTCAACAAAACTTTAACAAAATAAAATGTTTGTATCTTCATTTTTAAATAGGTAACATATAAATAATTAAATAGAATAGTAAAATAATACTTGGATATAAGCTAACAGTTATTTAAGTCATTGATCATACTATTGACGGATTGAAAATTTTTATCATATTTAGTTTCAATATTATACATATATTTTTGAATGAAGTTCCATATTTGTTCACATTCAGGGGTATAGTTTAAATGAAATGAAAAAAAGATTTGAAGCAAATATCTACTGCTTTTAGTGCACTTTCGACCTTGTAAAAGTATTTGTTGATTACAACATAAAAAGAGATCACTTGCCCATCACCAGTTTCAACAAATATCATATATGGTTGAAATTTTTGTCCTATTCCGTAGGCCCTATTTTATTTGGCATCATCAATTTCTTTTAACTGCGATACATTCTGGGAAAAACAAATTCATATAATATTTTATGTATTTATTATTTTTCATATAATTTTTTTATATTTTATTCTTACACTGATGTAGTATAAAAATGACTGCTGTATTTCAAGTTTAGACGGTCTGAAATAACTAGTTTTTGAACTCCCAGCGTTTGTTCGTTTTGACACAGTAACTGGCTTAAATAACTGAACAAAAATTTTAAGAGCAGCAATAGTCACATTTCCTATGAACAATTTTTATTAATTTGGTATAAACTAACCTAATTCAAAAGAGTTTTGGATTACATCTACTTGTTGGTCAACTTCCTTGATGTTACATTTTTTTTTTACATATTTTGGCAGTTTATTTTTGAATACTTCAAACTTATTATAGGTACAATACAAGATTTTTTCCTGGATATATTTCTTCAAAATCCAATTCAATCTATAATTATGTATAGGTACTTAATTAATGTACAATATTATAATGTTAATAGGCTATTTTGTAGGTACCCTAAACGAACTATATTATTAAAGTTATGAATACAATTATTTATATTTTGTTCTAACCAAAGTAAACCCAAGTGAACTTTTTAGTGCAGGATAATCAGTTAGGTAAGAATTGTTTTTTACTCCGTTAACCAATGAATTAAATCTTGTTTGAAATGTATTTTTCCATTTTATATTTACTATGTCCCATGGAGCAGTATTGTTCTTTAACCATAATATATATTCTTCATATAGTTCTAAGAATCAATATAAAAACATAAAAACAAGTATTCAGGAAGTTCAAATAGTAAGCAAATAAAATATGATTTTTAGTTTAAAAAAATGGTACATAATTATTTTATTAAATACCTAAATCATAATTATACTAGTATGAATACCTTTATTATTTATAGCTAATTGTTCTTGCCTTGTTGTATCCAATTTATTTATTATACCATCTGATTGTTTTGTGCTTTTTCTGATTTCCCTTCGCATATTACAGTATTTATCCCATAATTTCCCACGAGCAGGAGTAAGTTTATCAAGTAATTTATTTCACTTTTAATTTATATGCTTATTTTAAAAATCTACGCATAATGTTAATTATACATTTTTTTATTTTTAAATATTGTATATTAAAAATGTAAAGTCAAATATAAATTTAAAAAAATAATTCGTAAATTACAAGGTTAGGTTGTGAGCAATACCTCGAAGATACTCTAGACGTGTTTTACCTTCACGATTATTAAAAGCAGTCATCAAGCTATGTTCACGTTTTTGTTTAAGATTTGTTGGGCCAAAGCCAAGGAGCTCCTCGAAGATTGCTTCGATATCTGCATTAACCTTACCTTGTTCTTTCTGAAGTTCCTTAATCAGCGTAAACAGACCAATAAGAGCCCTCCCTACCAATTCATTCCAACGCCGATGCCATGCCTCCGCATGATTAGAAGTCCTAGGAATTCAATTATGTATATGTTCTTGTATATATACATTATGTGCACATTTTTAAAATAAGCATTTAAATTAAAAGTGAAATTAAATGACTACTTATAATATTATTATCAATCAATTGTCTTGTCGGTATTTTGGTTGTCGGTAGATTGACCCTGCCGGTTGGTTGTCTTGTTGGTATTTTGGTTGTCGGTCGATTGACCCAGTCCCATTTGTGTCATCGCCAAAGTCTTGAGAACCACATCATCAATACTGTCCATATATTGGACATTAATACCTTTTATGGAACGATTTTTCCGAGTAACGCAATCTAATTTTAAACTGAGAAGTTTTCCTGTGACTTCCTCAATTATATTTTTAATAATTTGGTTCGCTTTTATTATAATGTTTTTTTTTCACATTTTATACGTTAGTGGTGTATTCTTAAATATAAAAGATTGAAATTTAACTTTGGTAGGTCGGTATTTGGTATGAAGAAGAAGACATAAAAGGTACAAGTAAACTTACCAGGTCAATATTGTGTTAGTAAAGGATTGATGATTTTTCTAAATCCTGAGTCATCAACAGTACACAATGGTCTGTCATCTCTGTATATCAGTCCAACAAATCTTTGTACTCCATACTTACTCTTATTGTATTTTTGACCGTTGTTAAATTAAAATTATTCATATAATTTATTGAAGCCTGTTTCTATAGCTCCAAATTCGAACTTAATGACAAATAATATGCAAACATTGCAAATATGGAAATGATTTATAGAAATTAATTTTTAGTTCTTCTTAGGCTTAACTCATAATTATTCTAATAGGTATCTAATACCTATATAAATATGTTAAATATTTATATTTATTATACTACACCAATTTTGCAATTTTAATGCCGGGTTGCATAAACGTTCATTAAACATTTAATGAACCAATAGCGCGCTATTGAATGAATAAATTATTTAATGGCTCACTAAACGGTCATTAAACTTATTGGTTCCTTAAACTGGAGGTTACCAGATCATTAAATTAGTGATCAGATTTCGGCTCACTAAATTTTTATGCAACGGTTTATCACACAATTATAATTTTTTCTCAAATCTCAAGATAGCTAATATGCCTACCGATACGAGTTATACCTACTAGTTATTAAAATTTGCATCTTATATACATTAACATTATACATCTATTATCGATCTACAGTAATTTTTTAGTACCTATTAATATATAATAATATATAGATAGGTATAATCATGTCAGATAGTTCGGAAATACGTACATCGGATTCCGATGATGAATTTATCATGGATATGTTGTATCATCTACCAAGACCAAGGCTTTTCGGAGGTAGATCAAATCCTCTCGAAGAATTTACTTACTTTAACATTTTCAATAATTGATTTATATGGCAAAATAAGATCAATCAAATACTCTTTTTCACGTTCCGTAAAATTTTTACCCAGCTGTCTCTTCTTAACTTCACACATGCTGTCTTCCATTTTTTAGTTTTATAGGTACCTACACCTTTCAACAAATGTACAAACGAAACTTTCGTTACGAAAGTACAAAACACATCAATCGGCACTCACACTTCACAGGACAAAGACCATAAGTCCATAACAATTCGTAATTCGTATTGACTTAATATTTACCAATTGGCAATTACCATAATATTATCATTATATTATATATATGAGTATATTTTCAATTTGTACCACGATTAAAGATATATATATATCTTTAATCGTGATTTGTATTAATAATTAATATTATCTTCTCAATTCGGTGATAACAAAATTATCAAAAACCACATACTAGGTATAAACCAAAAGTAGTTTAATACATCTTTTATGCAACACGGTTAATTAATCAGTACATTAATCGGTTCATTAAAAGTATTTTAATCATTCATTAAAACAAACCATTAAACTAATTTAATCATCGCTTTTATGCAACCCGGCATAAATGTTTTTAATAATAGGTTTGAATTTGCTTTTTATGATATTACCTATTATTTATTTTAAAATATATCACATTATTTTTTAGTTTGGGAGGAAGTAGGATCTCATTTTCATGAGTTTCCATCTCGTTTGACATTTTTTTCCTTTATATAAATTAAAAAAATAATAAATATCCTATAAAATTAATATTACAAACCTAGCACCATATTTTGTATAACAAACATAGTAATATTTTTAATTTGTAATAATCGTTATTTTTATATATAAGTATTGTATGTACCTATAACTTTTTGTATGACGTATAACTTACTGTTTGTTTGTAAATATATCAAAGAAATTTAATATAAATTATAATTTACTTACCTTGAAGTTCTTCATACCTTTTGGGTGTATTCTTTGAATATAAATTTCAAGTGTAGCGCTTGTTGGCCTTTTAAAGATGATACACAATTACTGACTTGTCATAAACTTGGCAAAATATTATAGGTACAAAAAAAACATTTTTTCAACCGGGTTAGTATTTTTACGACCCATATTGAAAATGAAACTGAACTTTTAAACTGTAAAAATAATGAAATGATACGTTTTTTTATTTAGTTTACCAAACGGATGATGGTACTTAAATGGTTGACAAATGCACTTTGACTATCCAGACGTTCGTCAAAATCAACTAAGATAACATTTTTTAATTTTTCTTATTAAAGTTAGCTTCACGAAAACTGATGGCTGATCTTAGCGCTCCTAGTGGTGTTTTTTTAGGGCTATTATTTAACGAAAATACACCACTGGGAACCCTAAAATCAGCTGCTAGTTTTCGTGACGCGGATTGTAGTTATTACTTATTAGTTATTAAGTATAACTTAATAGCAGAGCTTTACGCCGTAATTATTTATTTGGGTTTTGGGTGTTGAAAGAAAATTCGGATGATTGGGGATAATGAACTTATCTTGTTACGGTTAAATGTACATTTATTCGGGTAATTCGACTGTTAAATAAAACCAGTTTTGTAATGAAAATTGTATAATATCTTAATCAGATTTTATTTTCAAATTAAACATAATAAATAAAAATAATATTAAATTAATAGGTAGGTACTTACCATTATTTCTTACCAGTCCTTTTTTTTACTAAAGAAAGTTCTCGTTGATTATTTATTTTGATAAACAAAATTTTCGTTTTGGTTATTTTCAATTGAGGTCAAATTATTCTGTTATATTCATAGGCGCAATTTGGGGAAGACTTGGAGGGGCTTAGCTCTTTAAATATCAAATTTATTCCCTCCATAAATTTGTATTTAATTGAAGTATTAAATCCTTCATTAATTATCTAATCTACTATTAAAGTAAATGTTGTTTGAAAAAATTATTTTATAAAGTTTAAACCACGATTTATTATTCATATGTTGTTCATAGTATAGATCGGATCCATCAATAAAAAATACTAATATAATATGTTGAATAATAGTATCACAAATTAGTCACTAATTGCTAATTACTATACAATATTAATAACATTTAGATTTATCTAGAATATAGTTATAGGTCATAGGTACTCGATAGAAGTATATTTTATACATTTGGAATTTCAAATGTATATTTTATTCATTTGGAATTTCAAATCGACGGTTACAATTATAATATATATATAAGAACAGTGGCAGATTTAAGGGGGGTCACAGGGGGTAAGAACAGTAACATAGCTATCATAGGTAAAAGTTTGGAAGTGCCCTGGGGGCTGGGGCCCCAAAATATAACGTGTATATTTTGAATTTTCACAATCATAATATTAGTTATGGGGAGAGGGGGTCGTTAATTTACCGCCCCGGAGACCTTTCCATCTAGCTACGCCACTGAGACAAAGCCACTCACGCGTCTGTTTCAGTTAAATATATTGTAAAGCCCTTCCGAGCCAAAAACTGAAATTGTACCTATGGCTATATTGGAAAATAAATCTACTTTTTGTATACCTAAAGTAAATCTAAAATCACGGATAATGTGGTAAATTGTTTTACATTAATTTTAGTTTTTAATTTTTACATTGCAATATTATAGAATATAGATCAATCAAAATAATTAATACAACATGAAAAATAAAATAAGTCGAGTTTCTAGTATTAAATACAATTAACAATCAGTTGAAAGTTTTAAAACAGTATACCAGGCTTTAAAATTTAAACTGATGCTATTGGATATTCAGTCTTCATGAAACAACATGAGTACAAGATAGTATACAAGATCTAGACATTTGAAAATATTTATATTTTTTTGTTCCTATACCTATAATTATAATTTGGTTTATTTAAATAAGTTTAAAATAAGACATTTTTGGATTTTAAAAACCCTTAGACTTAGATTCTAAGATTTTTTGAAGACTTAGACCTCCATTCATGTACCAAAATCCTAAACATCAAGTTTCAGACCAATGAAAAATACACAATTTTTGTACCTTGTTGTTACGAGGAATATTTGTATTTATTACATCAGTAGTAGGTATACATTTATATACTATTTATTTAAAAAAACAATCTGGCTTGTATACGGTTGGCATGTTTCTATTCACCCAAAATTCATAATGTTTAAATAAAAAAATATATATTAAT